TCTTGTATTGATATTATTGTAAAGTTCCTGATGTGGTCATTTGTCTTAATTAAGATTGTGACCAGGGTTTAAGAGGCTTGTTATACTTTGATATGATGTGTCAAACGGTAAGCGTTTAATTCCTTCTCAATTTGTGGCTCATACACGAAACATCAGACCCATATCTCCATATCAGATTAATTTGTTTACTGGTAAGCTTTCTGTTTTAAACTATAAACCTGATTAGTCACTTTTTTTTCTCCATTTATCTCATTGAGGGGATACAGTTGGAGACAAGTTATTAAGGTCCTTCTACCTACAGCATTAGACTTAGTCAAGCAGTCTCTCCTACAAATCCATTCAATTTTGGAGCTTTTGTTATTTTAGAAGATCTCATCATCAAAAAAGCTCCGTTGCTGAAGAGAAAAAGGGTTGTATATGTACATCCACAAGGAAAACATTTTATATGTATCCCAACTGTTCTTTGTGCCTGAAATATAATTGCAATGCTTTTTCCTTGGTCTAACAGCAGCATCTTTTATGCATGAATTGCAAATACAGTGGTGTTTCTGTTAAGTGTTGTAAATTAGTGGTAATCATAGCAGTGCTTTAAAGTGGCTATTTGAATGCACTCATGTGTTTGACCGTTATATTACAATGTGTATGACCGCTAATACTTGTAGCAGTATTAATAATCACGGATGCCTTTCGGAGTGTCGGGCAGGTTTGTGTTTTAAGCTTTTAAGCTCGTCTGTGTCTTGTCAGCCCTTGTCAGCAGGAGGGGGGAAAAGGTGGGGGCACTAATTCAAGGCAAAGAGAGGAGCCAAAAGAAAGCAGCCTCCTTATCAAAGGCCTGGGTGCTGAACCTCAGTTAAAAATAGAAGCTGAGGGAGATTGGCATCGATTTCTGCAGGCGTTGACTGCCCGATTGACAGCAGCTCGGCAACATCAGGCTGTTGAGCCATCGAGGGAATCCGCCAGACTGTCTATGATGAGATGAGATGGGAAGATAACTTCTGACAAGCCCTCCACCCGCAACCCATCTCTAATCACCCGTCTCCACGCACACACAAACATGCGCATACGGCGAGAAAAAGTAATTACACACACACACACACATACAAGGATCTACACATTTGCAGCCCCCTGAGCAAGTAATGGGACTTTGGCTGGCTGTGCATCCACCTGTCTGGTGTCTCCTGCCAAGTCAAAGCTCACGTGCTCACGCACATACAAAATACCTCTGGAGGTCCCTCCACAACCGCCAGCCACCGTCCTTGAGGTTTATCTCACTAGATTATCTTCCATCAGTAAATACCGCCTAATATCCATGAGGCATCCCGTGTGGGGATGTCAGTGACCTTTGTTTTACTGCTGTAACTGAACCGCACAAAGTGATTACTGTCATTACACTGTCTGCTTTAGTGCACCTAATTGTTATTCATTTCCTTGTGGTATTAACATCAATTCAGTCAAGCAAATGCACTCAGTAACCTTTCAGCGATGCTGGAGAGATGATGAAAATATCCCTTCTGAAGCTGTCATCAAAGAACTAGTTTGTCATTTTAGGATTTCACCTCCACGACTGTTGATCACGCAGCTGCAGCCAGCAGCTAGTTAGCTTAGAGCACGCAGACAGAAATATATGTTACATCTTATTTCCAAGCGAAAGCCTAATGAAAAGGATAAAGCCTGTGGTGCCCTATTTTGGTAATATGCTTAAAACTGTGCTATGTTTTTCTCATAGTCGTTTTAAGCAGAAACGAAGCTAACTAACCTCAAGCGAAAGCTTTTAACTGGTCCCTGCATGTTAAATTTCCCTAAATGAAGGCATTTTTTAACTTTTGGTGTTTTACTTATCTATCATTGTTGTTGTTGTTGTTTTTCTTGCAAATTCCCCAAATTCAGTTATATTTAATACTATTCCTATTTCCATTTATAAATAAATAATGGTATTATTTTTACATGAATTGTAACACACAAATCACAATACAGCTTTAATTACAAAACGACTGGGAAGCTGTAAATGTAAATGGCCAAATTAGGGCGTCAAAGTCTCTGTGAGATAGGATTTCAAATGTTTTGAATTCCTGGCGTACTCTCAGTGAAGGATTCAAAGAATTTGAAGCCATCTCTGAGCAAACGGAGCACAGTCAACAATCAATGTTGGATGCCCATGATCTTCAAGACCTCAGGCAGCACTGTGGGGATGATTCTGTTATGGAGACCCCTGCATGAGCACAGGAGCACTTCCAGAAATCATTGGCTGTGAGTGCAGCTCACCGTGCCATCCACAAATGCAGGTTAGAGCTCTATCGTGCAGAGAAGCAGCCACATGTGATCTCATATGGACTTCATCTTCTCTGAGCTAAAGCTCATTTAAAATGGACTGAGGCAAAGTGGAAGGGAGTTCTTTTTTTAATAAGAGATAAAGTATTCTACAGACTAAATGGAAAAAGGAACACACCAGTTTGCTGTGAGGGCACAAACACAAAGCCTGCATCTCTGATTGCATGGGGCTGCTTAAGTGTCTGTGTAAGTAGCAGTTTGCGCATTTGGAAAGACTAAATCAATGCTAGATGGTATAAAAGGAGAGCCCTGTATTCTCATGACATAATTTATTATGAAAAAAGACAACATGCAAAACAAAGGATTATTGAGAAGCTAGAATACTCTAAAGATGAGATATTTTACATGTATTTTGTTTTCAGGATGTTTCAAGACATGTTTCTGCTTTTTCATAGGATTATTTACTGTCTCTGCTTTAACATTATGTATGTGTATGATTTATCATAAATATAATATTGGGACAATTGCAAATGCTCATAATTTGCTTTTGTCCACATTTAAAATCGCATTCTAAAACAGCATTTGTGGCTTTAATACTGTGTACATTCCTAATGAAAAATATTACAATGTTAATCTTTTTATTGCAATTTTTCCAAAAAATATCTCTTCCCAAAGTAGATTGAAACAGAAAAGGAATATCAACATTTAAGTCATGAAATACAGATCAGCATGAAGCTGTTTTTCCGGATTTCAGTAATTGCCTCACTCTGTCAAAGCCTGGACTTCTTGGGTGATTGTGATTTTACACAATCACTTCACAACAATAACAGTAAGAAGCTGAAAGTTTGACTTCTTCTCATAATTAGGTGGTTTTCAGTAATGTGTCAACCTGTCAGCATCAGCATATTTGTTGCCAGTTTAAAAGGCCTTGGAGACTAAAACTCTGAGGTTCCTTCTAATTAGAAACTCATTGAAATTTATGAGAGCCATCAGGGATGGTTTATGTTGATGGGATTTTCTTTAAACCATTTTGTAAAGCGTTTTCCCCTCTTTATCAGTAAAAATGTCCAAGCTTGTGTCTCCATCTGGTGGTAAACATTGTACATTTGTAGCATCAAATCTTACCATTGCCAAGCTGGGAAAATGGGAAAAAGAAGGAAGCACAGGCCATGCAGGGACTTTTGGAAAAAGAGGCCAAAGGAAAGGATAGCTTTGTTTTCTCTCTGTTTGAGGTAATTTCTGTTTATGATTTTGCTATCATTCACAATTATGGAATACACCATTGTAATGACAGTGGGAACTTGGTAGATTCACAGAATTGCAGATTTCTATCAGATGATGGGACTGCCAGTTGCTCAATTTCTGTGATGCATTTCATTTTTGTGATTAAAGGTTCAGAATATATTGAATCAGTTTTCCGTGACCATTGCATTAATTCATTATGCAGCTGAATGTTTCATTTTTTTTTTTTTAATTCTGTGTTTGCAAACAGAGTCTGGACATTATGATGGTCGGGAAGTACATGACTCTTGTTTTGCAAAGCCAAAGTAACTTCCGGCTTATTCGTCCTTAAGATATTATTAAAGGTCCTTATGAAAAGCTCTTAGAATGGAAACACCAAGACTTCAGTTTAATTGAAAACCTGTGATGTGGACCTCACAATGGGAAACTGTTCATCCTCCAGGGTTACAGCCTCCCACAATGTGTAAAATGCCTCTTTTTACCTTACAATGTGAAACACCACTGTAATTGGCTGACACCTCCTCGATCTACAAGGAACACTATCAATAGTGTTGTCCTTTTTAAAGGACAAGCCATGGAGGAGAAACCAGGGGGTGCAGGCATTGACACATTATTAACATATGCTGTCTAGGACTAAAATATATTAATCTAGTTTGTTACACACACTGCTTTGTTGATCCTTTGATAGTTTTGCAGCATCTTCAGGCATATCTAACCATATATTAGACTATTAAGACTATGTAGAAGGAAATAATATCTGCACAATGTATTGTGTTTTTCAATAAATTACTATCAAATATAACATTAAATACTAATTTTTGTTTCTTTTAGGTCTGCTATATTACACTCACAACAGAGGGTGGCGCTGGTTGTACTTATATATAGTTTTAAAACATATTCTTTAAATACATCAATTACAATCACAGAAGTAAAAAAACAATGGAATATGGAATACATTTAATTTAGACTCTACTAGAGGTTTTCAGAGGATAAATCGATTTTGTGCAAAATAAATAACATTTCTAAAGCCTCCTTCTTCAAAAGTCCAAAGAAATCCAACTAAGACGGATTAAATATATATATTACGTATTTATCTATCTGTGTGTATATGTTTAAACTTTCTATTTTTCACTGTGTGAAAAAGTTTGTTTAAAAATCGCTTTTTCAGTATTTCAGGAAGTGGCGCAAAGATACACTTATTTCGGGAAAAGAAGAAGAATCAGCATCAAGTACTTCCGGTTCCGTTTTTGTTTTCAAAATAAGAAAGCTAGCTTGACTAGCACGGCTAACAGTCAACATTTAGCATTTTTGTCTGGAAATTGCCTGTGTACTTTCTAGTCTAACACATGAAAACACACAAGCTGATATTTGGGAAACAAAAATAATAACGTTACATAGTTGACCAAAACTGCTAAATCTTAAGTTTCAGCTCAGTAAACATTTTAAGTACTCGAATTAAAATTTAAAAAAACACGGACTATGAGCAAATGTTGTAAACCAGCACTTTATCAAGACAGAATAGCCAACCCATCAACGTGCATCACGATGAAACCAGCCCTGTTTAATCAAACTGCAGGCTGAGAAGAGAGGGTGACATGTTCCACCTTTCTCCATCCGGACTTTGGCGGATACCACACAGCCGCAGCCGATGGCCGTTTGGCGCCCTCCATTGTTGAAGCACCCGAATTGCCTGACCGATCCGGTCTTCGTCAACCAACCAGGAAAGAGGGCTTGCCGCGATCTGGACTGAGGCGGATGAGACCAGAAACCTTTGTTCGGTGTCTCCTCTCGATGCGAGAAGAAAACCGAGACCTTCTCCATGCGTTCAGCACAACCGCACTACCATTTTGTGGGTTGGGAATCGCAGATGGTTGTTTTACTAATCAAAAATCAGGATCACTCATAAGTGAGGCTTTATATAGGTCTGTTTTTTTCCCCCTCCCCGGTAGCTACAAGCCGAGGGGCGACATCTGGTCGTGTTTTTTGTCTGTCAGCTGCTAAATGGAAATAGAAGGCGGAACTGAAAGTGGAAGCAACCGAGGTGCGTGTACCCTCATAAAAGCAATCACGGTATCAGTGTTTTATAAGTCTCGATCTTTGTGACGGCTTTCGTGAGCCACGACGAAAGAAGCGCTTTTGTTCTCCGGTAATGGTCCTGCAGGGGCTCCGGAGCTCGGTTTCCAATGACCCAATCAGCGAGGGAAGGTTGTTTTCTGTCTCTCCTTCGGCCGTTCGGCGGTTCGGTTAAATGTAAAAGTGCCTTCCGCCTTCGCGGCCGACCACAGCCTCGTTCAGGCGTTTGTCCCCTGGACATCTGGGTATAAAAAAGCCCAAATCTTGCTTAGCCTACAGCAGCGTAAAGGTCAGCTGGAACTCCCGGGGAGAGTTGGACGGCTGCTGGCGTCACTGCGCTGCCATCTCATTATTTTACGCAGCTCTTGGCCACCATAAGTTCACTCCTGCTTACTATGCACATGGCCACCCCCGGAGTTAGGGGGGGGGGGGGGGGCCTGGGGGAGGCTGTTGACATGGGGTGTTTGTGTTATTGTAGATAAATCATGTGTGCCTCACTTTGACCACAGGTCCTTGTGTTGGTTTGCACCAAATGTGGTTTGTTTTGTTGTTTTGGGTGAATCTGACCTCTCGTGACCTGCGGCGGATATTTCCAGCATGGGCATAAGAGACGACATCACCTGTACAGTTTTACCTCACAACAGTAATGAGCCAGTCCCACTTTTAAGCCAACATGGGGTCAAGTTTGTCAAGCTGCCGTAAACTTTTATCTGGGGTCCGTTGAAAAGAATCGTAGCAACGGCAGTTGAATGAATGGCTTTGCTTTTTTCTCAGGATGCAGCTGCGATATGGCAGCTTTGGGGACAGAATCTCAGGGGGGGGGGAGTTCCTGCATATGGACTCGGGTCGCACATCCTTTGGGTTGGCGTTTGTGGGACATCCAGATGTGTACATGGTGGGAATCGGAGCCCTGCCAAACCAAAAGAGGCTTTTGTTGCTGTGTTTTCCAGTTTTAAGATGTTTTTTTTAATTATTTCTGACTAGGATAGGATGTTAAATTCACATGTATGATAACTGTGAGCGACTCACATGAAGCGGTCCTGTGTTTATGTCTTTCTTCCTCCTCTTTTTCAGGTAATGATCTTCCAATCCGTTATCTCCGGCTCCTGGCCCCACCCCTGCAGCTTCTGTCGGCTGCAGTGTGGCAAGTTGTGCAGCAGGGACTTGTGGATCACTATGGGATGGTGGAGGAGTTTGTTACCATGGTGACAGAGCTGGTTCCCGAGCTGATGAGCTACAGCCAGAGGGCTCAACTCATCCTGGGACTCAGGGCCAGGGTGAGCTGCATTTAGTTTGATCATCCTAAGAGGCCTGTTTTTTTTCCAAGCCATTAACACTGTTATTGTGGGCTGGAATATCAGCACCAGGCCCTTCAGTGGTGTTTTAAGTCCCTGAAATAAACCGAATCCCTTTAACAACTACATTCATGCCGCTTTCTCCCCTTTACTATTTGGTCGAGTCATAACAGTTGAACATTATTGAAGGTCTGCCATTTTCTAACCAAAGAAACAAAGGGAACGTTAACCAGAACCTCTTTCGGTGCAACCTGGGGTGTTTATAAAGCCCGCATGCAAAGCGTTTGATTTTTATGTGTGAGCAGTTGGTCCTGGAGCTGTGTCGTGGGGAGCATCCAGTGGATATACAGGCCATTCAGCCACATCTGGACAGAGTAAAAGCTCCTGTCAGCTCTGCCAAAGATCACCACGTGAGTGAACTAGCTAGAAAACACATAGCGGGTTGTGTGATTAGTGTTTGCCGTGACCTTTTAAACTCAGAGAACTTTGCATGTTTTTCTTTGATTAGATAACTATCAACCAGGTGGAGGAGTCCGAAGTGAACTTTGTGGAGCTGGTGCACTCATTACTGGAAGACCCCACTGAGAGGAAATTTTTTTTCCAGGTAAGATGTTCCTCCACTTTGAGCTGGCAGAAAGTCAGAAGGCGCATCAGCTTTTGGTTCCTTTACTGTCAGCCAGAGAGCAGGACTGCAGAGTCGGCAAACTGGACGGCCGCATAATGGAAAAACACCCCTCGGTCTGACAGGACCTCTGAGTTTCTGCTGAGGCACACGCATGGCATTCCCTGAATTCCTCCTGGTTAACTGGGAGGACTGCTGGTGTGGAAAAAGCTCTTCTGCCACATCAATCAATTACCCTTTGACTTTCAAAGCCTGTCTTGGTGGTGTTCACAACCATGCAAATTACTTTATGGCCCTAATTGACCCACGGCTTGAAAACACAATGTGTCCCAAACATGCAAACAGCAAACACGCGCACAAAAGCCGAAACAACAGTAAGTCAGTGTTTCGGCAGCGTGTCATGTTCTTCCCTCAGCCACTTGTGATCATTATCATGATGATTTCAGCTTATGTGAAGCTTTTTATGCACCTTATCAGAGCCAGAACTCTCAGTCACTGCTAAACAGACCAAAGAGAGTAAATCCAAAGCAGGATGTGCCCTCTACAACTCTGTGGCTGTAGAGAAAAAAGGACTATTTTCACATGCTGTATCAGTGAAAGTAAAGCTAGACTTTCCAGTATCTGGTACCTGTTAAACAGCCGATCTCTGGTTCAGGTGGTTTCAGTCCAGCCTCAAAACATGCTGGAAAAGGCCAGATGGTAGACAACTGTTTGAGATTCCATTGGAGATCTAACTAAAATATGCTTATGGAATAGTTATGAGCCACAGCTTTAAATGCCTTAACATTGACATAAAAATACAGAATATCGAATGTCATTTTTTTTTATGCATGGTTTGGAGTATCTATACAGAGGTATCCACTTCAGTTTTGTGTCTCAACATTTGCTTGTGATGTGAATTGTGCCCCTTTTATGCCACCAAATAACTGTTTGGAGCGCTGAAGCTTTTTCAAAGGGAACTGTCTGAACCCTGATTGCTGGAAAAATAGCGTTCTCCTTCTGTCTTGTAGGAAGTCTTTCCCATATATTTTGGCCCAAAGTATGACGCAGCACTGGAGATGCTGGTGTGGGAGTTCATATCCAGAATGGAGGAGCTGCTGCCAGTTCCAGACTTCACTCAGGTGCTCTGTTGTTTGAACTCGAGCTTGGAAGGGGCTATCAACCAGCTGCATGCTAATATTTGTGTTACACTTTGCATAAACCAACACAGGCAAGTAAAAAAGAAAACGCCCCCTATTTCAGTTCTAAAGATTTTGCAGATCAGGACATGGTGAAAATAAAAATCATCTGGTCCTGAGGGCGTTTTGTCCGGCAGCCAGAGCCTGGCTGAAAGTGGGTCATTGAACAGAGCAATGATCCCATAGACGGCAGCAAACCTCCAGCAGAAAGTCTGAAAAAAGGGACAGAATGAAGGAGGAGCAATGGTTCTATCAAAGTCCAGGCCTCAAACACAAACATTGATAAACTCAGGTCATTTGGTAGAGATTTCATTTGGTTATTTGGGCCAGATTTCCAACAAAGAAATGTGAGACTGACTTCATGTTTTTAGTTTTTTTCAGTTCTAATAATCTTTTAAGGCTTGCCATCACGTGTGGCTAATTCCGGCCTGTAGTTTCCCTCATTGAAAGCCCCAATAAAGACCAGATGATTTTTTTTTCTTTTTTAAATGTTCTAATGTGTAAAATCTTGGAGCTGAGAGTTGGACTGTTTTCTTTTTCAAATTGGCTGTACCCTCAAATGTTTTATCGCTTTTAGGCCTCAGTTGACCTGACCTGGTAAATCAGTGACTGTATTTCCTTGAATAGATCATTAATTTCGCAGTACATCCAAAACTTTGATTAGGCACAAGCCCCATTTCACCCCTATTTCATAAGGCAAAAGGACTTCAACTATGTCTCAAAGGGAACTTTAAATTAAGTTTCCTGCATTTAAACATTATAACACAGACACGCTTGTTCATATATCAGCAGAAATGGTCATTTGACAGTTAAGGTGGTAACTTGATCTCCTTTCTCAGTTGGCAGGTTTGGTCAGAGAGACTCCGTCATTCCTCGATGAGTGTTTACAATCCCTCTTCCCACCAGAGGACATGAAAATTATTATTGAGCACCACAGAGGCCTCGGCTATTTTGAAGAGAAAGGTACTTGAAGCCCGCTGTGTTGTTGTACATCTGCAGTCGACACAAACTGAACATGAAAAGTATCTTTTCCTCACCGTCGAAAAGATTTGGGTGATCAAATATTAACCGCCGCTTTTTATTTTTTCTCAAGGATCAGTCTTTAAACCGCGCCATTTTCACTCTCATCCGCAGATTCGAGGTTATTACCGATGGATGACTGCATCCTCTCCTCGCTCTCCGTGCCCCCCGGGACCAGGCCGCCCGCGGACGCTGAATCCTTTTCGCCTGCTTTCAAAGACACAGACGCCCCGGGACACAAAGTGCTGGGCCTGGAGATGCCGAACACCAGGAGCTCTGACGCCATCAGGAAAGCGCAGAGAGACACGAGGGACTCTTGGCAGATGCAGGGTGGAGACGGACACATTTCTCAGGAGCGGGAAGCGCACAACTCAACAGGTGATGAAACCATAGACCTCACCAAAGCTAATGAGGCCGCAGACACGGAATCGGAGGCCAGCGAAAGCAACCAAAGCTTAAGGGCAGCTTCCCGTCAAAGGAAGAGGAGGCTGAGCGGAGGTGCGGACATTCCCTCAAAGAAGCCCATGGACGCGTCAGCTATCATGTAAGAGGAGCATAAATTATTTGTACGACACAGACACATCGCAGATATTACTTTCTCATTAATTCATCTCCCTGAAAGCGAGAGTCTAGCAGCCGGTTGCCACGTGACTGTAAGTTCAGTGAACTCGCCGCAATGAGCAATTTCACATTCATTTTTCACTTTCTATGATCTCTTTGGAAAATGACACTTGAAGTACCAGAATATTAGCTGAAATATTAGTGTCTAATTAGAAGGATGAAACTCATAAAAACACTGAAATAAGAACAACTCATAAATACACTCAGTAAAATAGGTTCATGCACCAAAAAAAAATCCTAAACATTTTCCTCCGTTCGACTCGTGAACTCTTTTTGATACAATAGTTGAATTGTATCATCATGTTGACTTCAAACTTTTGAAATTCAAAAGATCAAAATCAGAATAATATGGTCAGTGACTATTTTTTAACTAGTAACACGTTTTCTAAAGAAGGTGTGACACTGCAAACTTGTTAGTGGTTTTTTTGTTTGTTTTTCAGATATATCAGATTTAGGAAGTCTGTAAACCGACAGGATGTCCCAACATTCTGTAAAAGCCATGACATAAGTTGTTGTTTTCTTCTGGTTTACAGGGATTCCTCAGTGGATGATGAGAATTCAGGAGAATCTCCTCTGATCTCCATATGGGGAGACTATACCGGTGTGTTCAGCTTCTGTACGCCTCACTTAAATCCCAGTTCTGCTTCTGTACTCAAAGCTTTAACTGATTCTTCACGTCTCACTCCAGACTCTCAGGAACACTCTTTGCCAGTTGCGATGGACTCAAAGGTTCCCTGGTCGGACGAGGAGACCATTCATCTGCTCGACATTTGGGGAAAGGACTCTGTGCAGCGTGCTTTGAAGGGCTGCTTAAAAAACCGTCACATATTCAGTCAGATCGCACAGAAGATGGGGGAGAGGGGCTACTTGCGAACAGCGGAGCAGTGCCAAACGAGGATCAAACGACTGAAGAAATGCTTCCGCCAGAGCAATAAGTAAATAAGATGGCCTCCCAGCACATTTATTGTTATTTATTTAGTTGAAAGACTACTGCGTGGGGTGTCATTCTCCAGCTGTGTCCTGATCTCACCTCTCTGAGGCTGAAGGCCCTGATAACTCATAGTGTCCCTGTTTAAATGACTGTGTGGGATAGGTCTTCTGGAAGCTTTCAATGCAGACAGAAATAAGACTAAAATTCCCCTTTCCCTCTCCCTCTCTTCCACAGAGCTCACTCAAAGCTAGAGCATAAATTCTACTCAAAGCTGGAGCAGATTCTCAACTCCTCAGCTCCCTCATCTGTGACGGAGGTCACCTACGACGTGGAGGAGATCGCCGATGAGGACGGCTCCCAAGATGGCGACGAGGACTTGCAGTTTCTCGGGCAAACCAGCCAACTGGAAATTGGTAAGCCATTCAATTTTCTGTAGTTGTTGATGTGTCGAGTTAGAAACTAAAAGTTAGCGAGCAGGAAGATTATTTTGGCTTGCTGCATTCTTTTTTGCCCCCATTTTCTAGATTTTACATAAAATATCATATACAAACGGCAATTATTTTATACCGTTCACAATGAGTTTGTGTGGAGGAATTCTTTTTCAAATTTGGAAAGTAAAACATAAAAAACACTCCATTCTTGTTATCAGGAACCAGAAGTGTGCCCTGGACAGACCAGGAGACTTTAGCGCTCATCAACATTTGGAGTGCTGACAAGATGCAGCAGGAGCTAAGAGGAATGCACAGAACCGGACACATTTTTTCCATCATATCCAACAAGTTAGCCACCCAGGGATTCTCCCGAACGCCCGAGCAGTGCCAAACGAGGCTCAAAAGGCTCAAATCCAACTTCAGGCAGTGCTACCAAAACAAGTATGTTTATTTACATTTGTATAAGACGAAAAGATAATGTCAAATTTTAATGGAGATTTGCCTGCATGTTCTCTTTTACCCCTCCATGGTAGCCTGAAAGGACTTGAACAAGTCAAGTGCAAGTTTTACAACGAACTGGGAAGAATCTTAGTGAAGGACTTCGCATCGGTGCTGCAGATGGAAGAAATGTCCGAAGAGGCAGAAGACTTGGCGTTTCCCGCCTTCAGCAACCAAGACGCAGGTAAGGTCTCATCCTCCCTCAGATATCCTGTGAACTTCGGAAAGTTCAGACAGTGTTTTCTCGGCTGATTTAAATTTGGGAAAAATGACAGACAATACAAAAAAAGTCATTTTTTCCAGAAAAAATCAAATCTGAGTACTTTACACAGATACGATCACCTATATTACATAAAAGGAAAAATATGCATCAACAATATTATATGGCTGGTCACATTTCAAGGTTTAGTGTCAGGTTTTTGGACTAAAAATGTGTATTGTTTGGTGACTCTCCTTCTCAGAGTCCTCATCAGGAGTTCCAGAGGACAGGAAGAAAGTGCCATGGTCTGACAAAGAGACCATCATCCTGCTGGAGATCTGGGGGGACCAGCAGGTAGAGCACAACAGCGTCTTACAAATTCTCATTAGTCCTGGATCTTTCTTTCTGATTCAGACGTTACCAAAAGCTGTGTGCTCAGAACCTTTGCTCTACATTTAGGTCCAGCGGGGCCTGGGACGCTACCCCCACAACGGTCACATCTTCACCGAGATCTCCGACAAACTCAGTGCTCACGGTTACTCCCGCAGCCCAGACCAGTGCCACACCAGGATCAAACGGCTGAAAGCCAACTACCGCCAGTGTAAAGAAAACATGAGGTACACAGCAAAAAAGACAGAAAAGGTCTGTTCGCTCTCCGTCATTCGCTCCCTGACGTGTCGTGGGTTTTCATTCCCGTAGCTCGTCTGGGACCGATCAAGTTGACTTCAAATTCTACGATCTGCTGGAGCAAATTATGGAAAAGCAACAGTCGAAATTGTCCCCAGTGATAACCGACTCCATCGAAATATCAGAGGACTCCAACGAAGAGTCGGTGACTGAGAAAGGTAAATGCTTCCTCCATATTTTCCTTTATTATGTTTGAGTATTTTCATCATGACGAAAAAGGGTGCTGACTCTCAATTGGCGTGTGGTTAATGTAAGACGAAGAATCTGCTGAGTCAGCCGAAAAGCCAGCAAACGGCTCTTGGTCGGATGAGGAGACGCTGGCGCTCATCGACATCTGGGGCGAGGAGGACGTGCAGAAGTCGCTGAGGGGTTTCGTCCACAACGGCCACGTCTACGCTGAGATCTCCGAGAGGCTGCACGACCTGGGCTTCTCCAAGAGCTCCGAGCAGTGCCGCTGGAAGGTCAAGTCGCTGAGGGTCAACTTTCGGCAGTGCTACGACAAAAAGAAGTGAGACCCGCCTGTCTCCTCCCCGTCGCCGTCTCCGTTTAATCCTGAGTCACCAGAAAGACAACCGGCCCATGTTGCTTCTTTGTGTCTTTCCAGAAGTGGAAGAAAAGTGGATTATAAGTTCTTCCAACCGCTCGAACGAATACTGGGACAGGAGGCCACTTCTATCGACGAGTATGACGAGCAAGATGGCCAAGAGGAGCCGGACCCGGGTACGGTGGAAATCTTTTAATTCAGGCCGCCGAACAGCCAGAGATGCGGAAAACCCTACATGTGTTTGTTTGTTGTCTGTGCACCTGCAGGGCTCCTGGACAACGTCAACACGCCCTGGACGGAGGAGGAGACGGTCACGCTCATCGAGGTCTGGGCGGCCGACGACGTGCAGCACAGCCTGAAGACCTGCGTCCGCAACGGCCACGTCTTCGCCGAGATAGCCGAGAAGATGGCCGCCCTGGGCTACCTGAAGACGGCCGAGCAGTGCCAGACGCGGATCAAGAGGCTGAAGAAGACCTACCGCCGCCACTGCAACAGCAAGAGGTCTGAACCAGCCGGATGAAGAGGCTCACGCGTCCAGTGACCTCAGCCTGACCGCTCCCCGCTGATGGCGGATTCTTGTTTTCCAGAAACGGAGGTCGGCCAACGGTGTTCCGGTATTACAACCTTCTGGCACCGGTGCTGGGAGACCGGTCCATCGTCCCGCCGTTCGCAGACTTGGACAGCACCATGGTCGACGCCGCCTTAGAACAACTTATGGATAGTGACCAAGCCATGTGTAGGTGTTAACAGTTTCTCGGAAGGCAATCTTGCGGAACGTTTCGGTTTAATTCCTCGTTTCCCGTTTTAGACGACCAGCCCTCCACCAGCCAGCTCCTCGCCGACATGAGCAGGAAGACGCCCTGGTCCGAGCTGGAGACTCGCACCCTGCTGGAGATCTGGGGCGAAGACAATGTCCAGCTCACCTTGAGGGGCTGCCTGAAGAACCGGCACGTGTTCGAGTACATCTCAGAGAAGATGGCCGCCCACGGATTTATACGGACCACAGAGCAGTGCTACACCCGCATCAAGCGCCTCAAATACGGCTTCGTCCATGAGAAGTTAGCCACTTTGAAATTTTTGTTTATTCTAAACAAGTTTAGCATTCATATTCAGTTTTCTTTGAGTCATTTCCACAAATGGAAAATGTGAGATATCTAATTTGAACTTCTTCACCTTTGCAATTCAGAGAGGATTTTAAATTCTTCAATGAGATGAACAAAATCTTCAAAAAGGAGCCGAAAGTGGAGGACTCGGTGGAAGAGACTCCAGCAGTCGCAGAGGAAGCCGAAGACTGCGGTCCTGACTTGGACCAAATGAAAGGTGTCACAGATTTCCAAAGACGCAACAGATTGGAAGCAGTTTTAAAGCTTTTAAACATTTATTTAAAAACCTGTAAAGTCTGAAAAGCATTTTTCATAGGACACTCATTTCATTTGGAGGATTTTAACCCACGGACTCTTGTGTTAGTGGCCCCAGGTAACCAGTGGGTTTCAGACAACTCGAAGGCGGCTTGGGGTGACGAAGAGACCGAGGCCCTACTGAATATTTGGGGGAGCAACGACATCCAGGAGAACCTGAAGGGTGGGACAAAGAACAAACACCTCTACATCCAGCTGTCTCAGGTCATGGCCGGCCGGGGTTACCTGCGCACTCCTGAACAATGTCAGTCGCGGATAAAGAGGCTGAGGGCCAACTTCAGACACTTCCTGGAGGGCAGACAGTAAGTAAATAATAATAAAAAACTACGCCCTGTTTGGTGGGGCGTGGTGTTTTACCCTTTTCTAACATGTTTAAACCTCCTGGTAGGTTGAATTGTCCGAAAGTTCAGAAAATCTGTCTTTGTTTTCAGGGGAGAGAAGCAGGAGTGCAAGTTTTTTGATCAGTTGGTGCGGATTTTCGGCAACAAGTACATGGCGAACCCCGATCCCTTGGCGGATGACACCGCTGAACCCACAGGTAAGAATGATAACCAGCATGTTTCCATATTTATCTCCTGCTAATATCCTGTTTGGAAAATGCTGTTCTACAGCTTCTTGATATGTTTTCTCACTTGATCAAGCTGGAGTGGAAATATCTTAAAGGGGGGGAAATGCTAACTTTAACATAAAGACTGGATATGATCAATGTCAGTAAAGCTGCTGTTGTTTTTTTTCCCCTCTTGTTAGAGTCATGAAATCAGCAGTTGTCAAGATGTCACAGCAGCTGCAGATGAAGTAGAAACACCCAGAAGAAGAAAGGCGCTAATACTGGCTTTATTCACTTCAGAGGTTTTTATTTTTACCTTTGAGGGCAGACGGCCTGTCCAAGCTCCATGTATATACTTTAAATACTTTTTCATTCTCCTGACACAAAGACTTACTTCAAGCTGAAATCTAGAGCGTTTGTGTGTATGTATCCCTCAGCTAGAGTGTCTTGTGATTCTTAGTAACAGAGCCATGATGCAGGATGCTCAGGGTTTGAGGGACAAACATGTTTTTTCTAGTAATTATTTTATACTTGAACTTAAGGTGGGTAAATCAAAGCACATGCAAGTAGAAATACAAGCAAGACCTTCAATACTCGGACCACGGCCTCCCTTTTTTTGTCCCTACTTGTGTCTCACTTGTTAAATCTTATGTCTTTGCACTCGTTTGTAAAGTTTGAAATCTGTGTGATGAAAGGTGAAATATTTAAGTTCATTTACATCCTGTATTAATGTGAGTTAACTTTGTCTAGAATTCTATTTATTTAAACAATGTATGTATTCCAAAGTTTTGCCGTTTACTTTGAAAATATTACACTTCAAACCTTATTGGAGTACATTTGTGCCACAAACGTGTTACGGTTTTTTCATATCCATTAAACAAAATCTAAAATGTCTGATTGTCAACTGATGCTGGATACATTAAATTCCTAAAAAAGGGATGAGAGCAAATGTACCATTCAACACTTAGTGTAGACCGAGAGAAATACCATCAAAAAGAATCATGAATCCCGTTATTACACTGAAGACTGAAAGACACCGTTACAACAACCAGGGCCGTCACAATGACCAGGAATGTTGTCGTAGTGTTCACAAGTGTTCAGGGAAAGACATCCATAACATCTTGAAGGCTAAACTCTGCATACCAGGATTAGGAGCTCCAGCTCCAGTTGTGATTGAAAAAAAAAAAAGATATGTCAAGGTAACTTGTTTGTTATGAGAAGCATGGACTTGGTGACTGTTTATTCATAGTTAAAAGAGATTAATCATTATGTTTAAGTAGATATTCCTACCCAGAACCTATTTGCTCTGGAATGTTTTAATCCAAAATTCCCAATGGCCCAACCAATGTTGAGTGTGCCCCACCATTAGCCGTAATTAGGTGCATTTGGTAGATCAGGATTTCAGGAGGGGCAAAGGATCTCAGCTTTATCAGGAAATGATTTAAAAGAATCTTTTAAATGTCTAAATGGTATTTTGCCCAAGAAAGTGCTGTTTCAGGAGCCATCAATAGCTCATATAGTCATGTCCACCGCCCTGTGTTTTCTTTTGTTTGTTTTTTTATTCAATAAACCACTTTACAGTAATGTGACACACTGGTAGCCTACAAATTCAGGGAGAGCAGTTGTCTTTCTGCTCTGATTCCCCCTCTTTGGCCCGGGGGCATTCTCTATCCCAGGCAGCTTGCAGAAGCCTTTGAATTCTGTTGTGGGACATATGTTTTCACATCTGTGAGCCGCTGACCTGGAGCTGGAGCTGAACTGGGCTGTGTGTCGTGTTAATCGTTCCATCCCTTTGTTAATGCAGTTTTCAAGTAGAATTGCACAACATTTCAAAGAAAAGCACAACAGCTACTGTTTTAGGAGTTTGACAAAAATCTATTTACTGAGTGTCGTATGCATTTTTAAAAGGCCTCTTGAAATTGGTATGATATGTACAGATATATAATAAAATAAACTTTTAATTTTAGTTGGGGTACTGTGAGGGGGTGAATGGAGAGTACAGGATTTTAGTATTCTATGTTTTATTCCGTCACACTTATTTTTGATTTTACAGAGACACTGGGGTGAAAACACATCAAGTGCACATAAAGAATAAAGATTAAAAAGAAGACGTCAAGCCTAGTGTTCTCATTTGCCCTTTAGATGGCGCCACAGGGCAAAAATAAAGTTCTGAGAAACTGGGAGCTGTCTTCTGACCACTGAGACCCAATAATCAATTACAAGCATTGTTGTGTCTTTGGACTGTGACAGTTACTCAAGCAGAAACTCTGTGCCTGTCCCAGCCATATATCCACTCCATGTCATAACACATAGAGTATATTTAGATGGACAAGTTCACACACACACACAGATGCACGACTCCCAAAAGTTGGGACAGTAATTACATGTCTAAATCTGACCAAGAATCCAAGTGTATTGTTTTGGGGGCTGTGGTCCCTTACTTCAAACACAGAAAAAAACTCAGCTGCGAGTGAGAATTTTTCAAAGAAGTCGGTTGCTGCTTTCGGATCTTCAGTTAAAGCCACTGTAGACTTAGCCTTAGTTTCACCCTCAGCTCTGAAACTACGGTAATCAATAGTTTAAACACCAGTCATCAATGTTGGAGCATATAGTATGTAATAAATATATCATTTCTGAAGCTAGTCTAAAAACAACTACCAGTCTCCTGCAGTCCATAAACATGCATGTCAGGTAAACTCATGATTTTCAGTTGCCCAAAGACGTGAATGTGAGCGTGGGTGGTTGTTAATCTCCGTGTGGCTCTGTGATTGATTGGCGATCCATCCAGGGTGTACCCTTCCTCTCGCCCAATGTTAGTTGGGACAGCCCCACTGGGACCCTGATAAGACAATTCACAGCCAATGGATGGAGAATTTGAACTGAGTTTGAAGGTGACTGGATTTCCCAACACAAGGTGTGTAAACTCACTGGAAAAATCAGTGTGTTTTGCTTCACTTATCATGCTCCATAAGCAGATTTATCTGACTGTGGGAGTCATTAAAACTAGCTGCACCACTGGCATAATTCCACCGAAGATGATGACAGCGATCAAAACACAATATCACTGATTCAGTTTTTATTCAGGTTTCCATTTAATCTATAACCTCCAGTATATGAGAAATCTTTTTGTGCAGGGAGCGTGTTGTGGCGCTGAATCATTCCTGTGCCCTGAGGGTTGAGATATTCACCAAACAACATTGCTAGAACAGGCAGGCCCACGTCCTATGTAGCAAATGTATCCTGAGCAGATATTCTCATTTTACAGTGCTCCCAAACGTGCATCTTCATGCTCTCCCTGTGTTGCAGAAGTAAAAGACAGACTATAAGGGAGTGGATGGGGGGGCGGAATTCAGCAGTGAGAAAATAAGTCAGCTACATGAAGAGATAGATTGTGTGTATGTGTATCTGCAGGGAACCTCCCTACTTACAGGCTGTGTACAGGCTTGTTACAGCAACATTCCTGCACTCAGCTGCTTCTGAACGGGACATTCCAGCAAGAAAGGAGGAGACAGAAAGAAGAGTTAAAGGTGAAAGGTGGAGGAATAGAGACAGACAGACTGATAAATGTTTGGCCGGTATAAAACGAGGATAAAGCTAAGGAAGACAGAGCAGAGATGGGCAGTAAGAAGAATATATTTGTGAAGGAGGGAGAGGGGAATAATAATATGATATGTAACTGATCCCTGTTGTGAAATCCTGAACCCTTGACCCATATCCCTCCGCATCCTCACACAGAGGTCAGAGGTCAGGGTCAAATACAGTACACAGTAACCAGAGCCAGGAGCTAGAAAAGAGACAGAGAGAGAAATACACAAGGTCCCTCATTGAAATGTAATCTTCATGGAGCCATTAGACACATGGACACAAAATATCTAACATATGTGAAGATATGTGTTTATTCATTGAGTATTTTATGCAATTAGAAAAACACTTTTCTATGCTAAGACTTGAGAAAAAATACATTTTTGTTTAATAAAAAAGATACACAACCCTTATCATACCCCTATAAAGGTTCATTACGTATACTGCCATGGCAAGTGTTAACTAGTGTGATAAATTATGTGTATTTCCTCAGGTTTTGTTTCTGTGTTTAATGAAAAAAGTGTAATTTTTCTTTTTTACCATATTATTTTTCACTGCCCATTAAATATGCCACTCTTAAATGCTAGAAGTAGGAGGAGAGGGAAACAAAGCAAAGACAACATTGAATATGCACTGGGATAACAAGCAAATAGGTTTGAAGACAAGAGCTACAACAAGCAGCTTGTGTGAGTAAAAGGCTTTTTGGCCCACAGACAGCGTCCCCTCTCCTTCTTGCTCTTACCCGGTCTGAATAGATGGGTTTGTTTTCTGTCTCTGGTAGAACTAAAGGAAAACAAAGTGCCTCAATTTCCTTTTTTTCTAAGTGTAGTCTCATTGGAGGACAGTTAATCGGGCATAAGAGTCCATTGAGTTCTTGACAGTCTTTTCCAAAAAACAAATATCTCTCCCTACCCTCTCTGTTTTTGCACGTTGCATCACATTTAAATGAACTGAATCCTCACAAATACAAAATCCAATTGAGTAATATTTCATTTAGATATTTCTGTTGCTATGGGTTTGTTACACTGCTGTTATTACATTTTCTTGCAGTACAGTCTTTGTTAGTTTTTTTCTGCCATTACTGTGACAATGGGAAAGTTTTTAAAGTTATATATCTTAGTTTCTATCTATGTATTGGTATTACTTACACAACAACATTTATCGGAAAGAACATATCATGTAAGCACAGAGGATAATATTATACCCATCATATCATTAATGCGGAAGTTACATGATTGCTTGTTTCTGTTTCCAGCAATATCTTAATCCAGATTATGTTGGAAACCCATTATTCTGATGGGTTGTAAAATAAAAAATCAATGAATATAAAAATCATTGTTGTAAATTCTGGTGTATTATTATGTTACAATAATAATAATAATAATAATAATAATAATAATAATAATAATAATAATAATAATAATAATAATAATAATAATCATGGTGGTGATGATTATAATAATATAGAATTTCATGATTCCATTGAACGTGAGCGTCCAAACAACAGACACGTGTTATAACCAATCAGATCTTAGAATTTTGGTGGAGCAACATCCACTGTGGCCAATAATATTCTGGCATGGCTTGCATTTTACCCAATCAGACGTAAGCATATCCTGCTGTAGGCGGAGCTACCTTTCGTTGGCTTTGCCCAGTCCGGATGTTCTCCAGTTAGCGAATAACGAGCAGTAGTGTGTGAATGTGGCAATCGAGGTAGACAGGGAGGGGTACATAGACTGTCCGGACTGGGCTTTTTCGGTCTTTTTTTCTGTATTTCTCTGCCCTTACAGAACCAAGTGTTTACAGCTTTTATTATGCTACGTTTTTAAAGTTGTTCGCAGGGTAGGAAAGCCGGCCGCTGCTGCTTTTCTTTTGGACTAACCGCTGCCGTTGTGAAAACAGTCCAGAAGAAAGAAGGAAAGGCTGAAACAACATGGGGCTATAATAAAAAATGTGTTGTGTTGTGGACCGACGATGACTCCCTGGGAGGACCGTTGAAGCCTATTTATTTTATTTATTCCCCCTACCCCTTTTACCTCGTGTCCTATCTTTTATTTTTTTTGCCAATTTGCCCTCTCCTTGCTGGTTTGGGATTTTTTAAAGGAAGAGGCAACGTTACGAGAGGACTGTAGGATGGACCAAGCCGGCATCCTAAGAAAGTTTATCCAGGGGGTGAAGGCCATGAGCGAGGGGGACGAGGAGAGGGGTGAGGACAACTTCGGCGGCGACTTTATGGTGGGTCAAAATTAGCAGGAGCCTTAACCTAGCCTTCTTTATCTTATTTCTATCTCACCCAGACCCTTCTCCCCTATACATTCTCCACCTTTTCCTTCACACTGACCCTGTATACCCCCCCCCCCCTCCCTCCCTACCCCTCTGCTGGTTCTCA